AGGCTAAAACATTTGATGAATGGTTGCTGGAACTGGGTATGTCTAGTTTGATGAAAAGAAGGACTAGGGGAGAGATCATAGCAGTGTTCCAACATCTCAGGGGCTGCCACAGAGAGGAGGGAGTCAAACTACTCTCCAAAGCACCTGAGGGTGGAACAAGAAGCAATGGGTGGAAACTAATCAAGGAGAGAAGCAACTTAGAACCAAGGAGAAATTTCCTGACAATTAGAACAATTAATCAGTGGAACAGCTTGCGTCCAGAAGTTGTGAATGCCCCAACACTGGAAGTCTTTAAGAAGACTGGAACGGTATTTGTCATTTGTCTGAAACTGTATAGGGTTTCCTGGATAGGCAGGGGGTTGGACTAGAAAACTTCCAAGGTCCCTTCAAATTCTCTACTCTATTCTATTTGAGGAACGAAGGAAGGAAGGAAGGAAGGAAGGAAGGAAGGAAGGAAGGAAAGAAAAAAAGAAAGAAAGAAAGAAAGAAGAGGGAGTCAAGCTATTCTCCAAAGCACCTGAGGGTAGAACAAGAAGCAACGGGTGGAAACTAATCAAGGAGAGAAGCAACTTAGAACCAAGGAGAAATTTCCTGACAGTTAGAACAATTAATCAGTGGAACAGAAGTTGCCTCCAGAAGTTGTGAATGCTCCAACACTGGAAGTTTTAAAGATGTTAGATAGCCATTTGTCTGAAACGGTATAGGGTTTCCTGGCTAGGCAGGGGGTTGGACTAGAAGACCTCCAAGGTCCCTTCCAACTCTGCTATTGTATTGTATTGTATTTGTCTTGATCTTGATTGTTGTTTTCCAGTCAGGGATCTGGGATGACAATCTCAAATTGAAAGAGGCTATTTTTAAGAGCAGACCGGTAAGTCGGTGGATTTTTGGCAGTAGGAAGTGAAACGGCAATGATGGCAGGGGTGGAGCCACCAGATTTTAAAAACAGAAATCACCCTGGTGCTTTTTTTAATATGAAGCCACTAGTAACCGTTACTTAAATACAGACATTTGTACCTGCGTTCTGTTGATGTTTGTAACAAACCTCGAGGTGTTAGGACAGGAGTTGGCAACCCGCGGCTTTCTTTCATCCCTCTCCTGCGGCTCCCTGTCACCAGTCAGCTCCACAATTGATAGGGCTTTTGGTTAGGACAGGCAGAGGAAAAAGGACGGTGCGCTAGGAGGAGACTCTATGGTGGTTGTGGGGAGCCAGACTTCCAGTCGGCAGAGGAAAAAAGACACCATGCTAGGAGGAGACTCTAAGGTGGGGGAACCGGACTTCCGGTCAGCTCCAGAATTGAACCGGGGGCTTCCTGTTATGACCTTTATGGCTCTTTGAGTGTTTAAGATTGCCGATCTCTATGTTAGGACATTATCAATACCATAACCGTTAACGATTTTGGGCACAAATATGTAAGTCAAAGCCTTTGCACCATGTGATCGTGACACAAAATGCCATCCTCTACCTCATTTGCACCCAAGGAAGCTCATGGATAACTCTCAGAGTAATCTGATAGCCTTGGGTTTGGCTTCACTATATTGCCAAAAGTATTCGCTCACCCATCCAACTAATCAGATTCAGTTGTGAGCGAATACTTTTGGCAATATAGTATATGTGGTTGATAGCCACATTGTGTGGAATCAGATTTATCCAGTAAGCCACCAAAGGTGGTTCCTATTTGTCTACTTCCATTTTTACACGCTTTTGAACTGCTAGGTTGGCAGAAGCTGGGACAAGTAACGGGAGCTCACTCCGTTGTTCGGCGCTAGGGATTCGAACCGCCGAACTGCCAACCTTTCCGATCGACAAGCTCAGCGTCTTAGCCACTGAGCCACCGCATCCTGTTATATACAAGTCCACACTTACTGTTAAATTGACCCAAATAGGTCAGGATGGCAAGCCAGCTCTAAACCAAGATTATTATTAGCTCAATTTCTATCTTGATTTCCCCTTACGTGATATGCAACTGTGCCTGGGTGATTTATTCCTAAAATATTTGTATTAAATTAACAATTTATTGGAGGTTGCAATTCTTCCTATTTCATGGATCAATTTAAATAAATTGAACGTTTTTGTTTTTTAAAAAAAGAAAATAGACCTAAAGGGCTCTAAACCTGATGCCTTGTTTTCTTGATTTCTGACGTTCCTTTAGGATGTGTGCAGTATTTGGTGGGATCTATTGCCTCCGGCACGCCATAAAGTGTCTTGTGTTAGACAAAGAACTTAGAAGGTAAGTCTTGAGCGAGGTAACCTTCTCTCTCTCTCTCTCTCTCTCTCTCTTACATAAATGCAACTACGAGATGAAAAATGCCAGGGTCTTCTTTTTTTAAAAAAACGATTCTTCAAAGATCTTCCTTGGTATTAATAACACATCAACCTTGATTAAAAATAATTTGTGTATAGGTCCTCCAGAACTGGGAAAGTGGGTTTAGAATAAAGAAACTAAATTAATTTCCCTCTGATATTACTGCAGCCTCCTGATCACCCAAGCTTGGAAGACAGATCATTTTCAGTTGCCAGGGGTTTGGTGATGAGTGATGTTAGTTTTCCTTGTGGCCTTACCTACTCTAATTGATTTTCATCAGATGACAACAAAGCCCTCTGTTATTGCATTTTTTTAAAAAATGAAGCTCACCTAAAGATTCATCAGATTAATCTCTGCTGATAATGCATGTCACTCTAAGAGAAAAAAGCTTTAATGAGTTTTTAGGTAGATTGTTGTCATAAACCACGCTGCCCTCTTAGCCTAGAATGAATTATTTTTCCACCAGTATTGGGACTTTTGAGCAACTTTTTTTTTTTTGTAAAGTTGGAACCAAATCAATGGATGTTTGGGGGCTGCAAAATTTATACCAGTGGGATGATGCAAAGCACAAAATGTGACCAGCTTGTTCAGTGTACTAAAGCATAGGGTGGTTAAATGTTGTGATATTATATTATAGTGCCTTAACCAGAATTTGGGTTATTTAAATATTTATCTATCTATATAAATGGCTGTGTGTGTATGTTCCAGCATAACTCTGGAACGCTTCGAGCAGTTTCAACCAAACTTGGTACACAGATGACTTACTCTCTGGAAGCAAATACTGTGGGTGTAAGACACCCCTAACACCCCTTGATGTGTGTTCTGTTACGATATAGCCTGTTGTGCCTTAAAATGGTTTCTACTATACTGCCGTATAATGTATTCTACTGTACAGCGCAGCGGAGTTGCCATGGTAATGGCTTCACAACACTCCACAAGGGGGCTCCTTCTGATAAGGGGGAAAATCCAACATTAGATATTACGTTTGGTCCGAAATTACATTTCCCCGCTATAAATAAATACCCGGGAAACGCCGGATTATCACCCAGTCATATAATAAACAAGACAGGGAATGACTCTATGGCTAATTTACCTTTCTGGTTTCTAGGTATAGAACTAAGATCGAAGTCTCCAAACTTGGCAGCTTTAAGACTTGTGGACTTCTACTCCCAGAATTCCTCAGCCAGCCATTTCTGGAAGCCCACGAGTCTTAAAGTTGCCAGGTTTGGAGATCCCTGATCTAGGATAATGGAGTAGCTTCAGATGGGGCTCCGTTAGTGCGACTCCTGTTTTTTTTGTTTTTTGTTTCCCATGCAGAACTGGGGCCCGAAGGGTAGGGGATGTAGCCTTCCTCTATCCTGTACGTAGCAGCTCCCAACTCATCAAAATGGTACCCTTACACTGTTAACCAAAATCAAAACCATAAAACCGCATCCCGGAAATTCTTATCAAATTGTCACTGGGGGAAAAAAATAGACGGTACATTAGCTGATACAAGAAAGTGGATGTGGATGTGGTTGTGATTGACCATACGTTGTACCACAGCATCCGGGAGTGATTGCCGTATCGTGTAGATATGTAGTAGGCAGCTGTCTGGATTTTGTTGAGCTCCAACTCCCAACTGCCCCATCTAGCATGGTAGAGAGCTGCTAATAGTCATTCAGCAACATCTGGAGGGCCACCTTATGTGGAGTGCACCACATCCAGCAGGAATTTCAGCAATGGGTTCTCTGCCCAGTTGCTGGGTGGGCGTGGCCATGGTGGGTGTGGCCTACTTGGCTTCCGGCACCATGCGGGGGATGGGGGTGGAAGGGCATTTTCGCCTTCCCAGGCTTCGGAAGCTTTCCTTGAGCCTCTTGGAGGGTGAAAACAACTGCTCTCGGGCTCCGGAGACCCTCCGTAGGCCGGAAACGGGCTCTTTCCCAGCCTTCCGAAAGGCCTGTTTTTCCCCTCCCCGAGCCTCCGTGTGGGCCCTGCACTTACCTCGCATTCAAAACACACTGTATGGAGACTCCTGGTAGGGGAGCAGTGGTGGGTTCCGGGCGGCACACCCCGTTATAAGTGTACTGGTGGCTGCTGGGAGCAGCAGCCACCGTATCAGAACAGTGCTTTGGAGGGCCCACCTTCCCTTCTTCCTTACCTTTATTTGAGCTAACCGGGCCATTTGCACATGTGCGCGCAGCATACGGCACNGATAGATAGATAGATAGATAGATAGATAGATAGATAGATAGATAGATAGATAGATAGATAGATAGATAGATAGATAGATAGAGATCAAGAGATAGATAGAGATAGAGATAGATAGACAATAATAGGATGACTTGAATTCTCATATTGTATTTCTCTTCTTGACAAATCTTCACCGCTGTAAGGTTAAATAAATGTTTCTTCACTTCATATTTCATCCCTTATCTATGAACAAATCCATAAAACTGGCTGGAATATTTTTGGAACTGAAGTCCACCCGTCTTAATTTTGCCAAGATCGAGAAATGCTATGCCAGTGGATCCCGCAGTGAGCAGGGGATTGAATAAGATTAAGTTGGTCTTACTCATAGCAACTGTCTTCTAGTACTTGAGAGATTGTCATAGAGAAGAGGGGATTGACTTATTCTCCAAAGCACCAGAGGGCACAACAGGAAATAATGGGTACAAGCTTATTAATGAGAGATTCAGCCTAGAAGTAAGGCGAAATTTTCTGACATTGCGAAAAATTAATCAGTGGTGTAGCTTTTATTTATTTGATATGGTGTAACAGAATTAAGTGGTGCGGTGGCCTAGAGGCGGAGCTCTCGCCTCACAATCTGGAGCCTGTGAGTTCGATCCTAGGTAGAGGCAGGTATTTCTCCCTCTGGCCGTTGCTGCTTCTTGCTTATGCAATCCAGCAGCCAGAATACATAGACTAGTTAGCCATGACAAAGTCACGTCTGGGGTGCACCATGGCTAGCCTACATTGCACCCCAAAGCAGTGTGGATACTCTATCACTACAGGTTTTCAAGAAGAGATTGGACAGCCATTTGTCCAGAAGGGTATAAAGTCTTCTCCTTCAGTAGAGGGTTGGACATCAAGACCTCCAAGGTTCCTTCCAACCCTATCATTCTACGTTCTATTAATACAATAGCAGGCTCCTGGTTGAAACCCAAACAGCTCTTTCTGGCAAGCTCCTATCATCAATTAGACCTGGATCAGATTTAACAGATTAACAGAGTTGGAAGGGACCTGGTAGGTCATCTAGTCCAACCACCTGCCCAAGCAGGAGACCCTACACCATTCCTGACAAATGGCAGTCCAGCCTCTTCTTGAAAGCTTCCAATGATGAAGCTCCCACAACTTCCAAAGGTAACTTCTGTTCCATTGGTTGATTTTTCTCACTGTCAGAAAATTTCTCCCGATTTCCAAGTTGAAACTCTCCTTGGTCAGTTTCCATCCATTATTCCTTCTCTGGCCTTCAGGTGCTTTGGAAAATAGTTTGACTCCCTCCCCCCCCCTCTGTGGCAGCCCCTCAAATATTGCAACACTGCT